GGGACAGGTCACCGCGGGGCTCTGCTGGCCGGGGACAGGGAGGGACACCCCGAAAACGCTCCCCAGCGGGGCAGCACCTCATTCTCCTGGGAAACACGCCGGGGCAGGAGCAGGAATGGCTCTGGAGCAGGGAATGGCTCGGGCGGGGAGCAGATCCCGCCCCACAGCCGGGCATAAAAACCCCTCTCTGTGCAGCACAAGCGCCTCTCTGTCCCCTCTGTCTTCCCTTCCCTTTAATAATCGTCCCCTTTTGTCCCCACACATTTCCCTCCGTGCCACTGTCCCCGCTGCTCCCTCGGCCCATCCCAGCCGGGAGCTGCTCCCACCTGCTTTTTCCACGTCCTTTTCCAGGACACCTGATGTATTTATTTTCATTGCTGGTTTTTTTTCTTTTTTTTTTCTTTTTTTTTTTTTCTCTGTTTCTTTTTCAGGTCTGTGAAGTTGGTTCCTCCTTCCCGTGGCCTGGGAGCTGCGGTTAATGAGTAACCACAGCGAGCTCCGAGGCAGCTGCCTCGCACAAACCGACCGAGGCTTTTTTGGAGCTGCATAAGGGAACGTTTGTTCTGCAGCCTCTCAATGGATCCTTGTGCAGGAGGCAAGGAGTGTGGGGAGAGAAAGAGAGAGACACTAAATCACTGCCCTCCTCCTCCTCCGGGAGAGCTCTGAGCTCAGCCCGTGTGCCGCCGGTGCCTTCTGCTCAGAGATGGGGCTGAGCCACCTTGGTGGGCTCAGAGAATGGATTTATCTCCCCAGCCGAGCACACTGTGGACTTTTTAGCTTTAAGGCTCCTTTTAAGTGGCTTAAGGATCAAACACTGAGCTCATCCAGATGCTGGCATGGCAGGAATTGGGATTTTCTGTGTCTCTGTCCCATTGAGGAGCAGGTTTGGCTCTGGGTGTTCATCATTTTACCTGTCCCCTTCCTCTGCTTTGGGTTCATGGCGATTTTGGGGGGTTTATCTGATACTTGCCGTGGGGTTTGAGGCTGTGTCCGTTCCCTGGCTGATGGGGCAGGGTCTGGAAGCTCCGTGCTGTGTCCCAGGTGTCCTGTGTGACCTCGGCCATGGCATTTGAACCTCTGTGCCCTGCTGTGCCCGTGTCACTGAGCAAACAGGCGATGCTGTGTGTCTGCCCTGCCTTCGTCCTCTGGGAAGCTCCTGGAGCCTGCCTGGGATCCTGGGAGCAGGCAGAGAATTCCAGGGACTGTGTGGAATGGCTCTTCTCTCTGTGGTCCATAAAAAGGTTGGGAAAGAACTCCAGGACCATCAAGTTGAACCTCAGACCAAACACCCCCCATCCACCAGGCCTGATGGAGAAGAGGCACCTGTGCTCCTTTCTGAGGGATGGGCACGTCCCCAGTGCCCTGGGCAGCTCTTGCAGTGCCTGACCCTCCTGCAGGGAAGGGATTTTCCAGAACATCCACCCTGAGCCTCCCTGGCACAGCTCGAGGCTGTTTGCTGTCCCTTGTCCCAGGCTGATCCCACCTCACCCGCTGTGCTCAGGATCTGAGGGCTCAGGGCTGGCGGTGCCAGAGGATCCTCCCCAGGTTCCTGGAGCTGGGACTGCTCCGTGTTCCTCCGTCCCCGGAGCACAGCGGGGTGTGGAAGGGACAGGAGTGTCCCCAAGGCTTCCCCATCCCTGCTCCAGCTCCCTCTGAGGATTCCCAGTGCTCCTTCCCAGCCCTGTGGGCCAGGCTGGGATCCAGCACCAGGCAAGAGCTAAAAACACTAAACCACATTTTCCTCCTCTTTTACAAACCTCAGCTTTGGGGCTTGGGTTTAATTTTATTTTTCTTTTTTCTTTTTTAATTTGTGGATTGGCTGCAGTTTTGGGGAGAGATTTGGGCTGTTTGTGTTTTACCTGCCACAGCTCCCTGGAGCAGCAGCTCTTTATTGGCTCCCGCAGCACTTGGCACTCTCAGCACTGGAAAGAAAAAGCTTTTTGTTCCCATATTTCCATATATTTATATGGATTTAACTGGGCTGGGGAGGGTATTTGAAGGTCAGAGGACTTGCAGAGGTTACTGTGCTGGCCAGGCCCTGGGAAGAGGGAACAGCCATCCTGTGGGAACTCATTCCCAGCTCACCCTTCCCTGTCTCTTTATTTTCCTAGTGCTGCCCATCACTAAACACTTTATTTTCTTGTTTCTCTGGGAAAAACCACCAGCAAATCCCATGGTGTGGATTTATGGATGTGCCGTTCCCAAGCTGGGGTGGGAAAAGCAACACGAGCTGGGGCTGTGACCCCAAACTGCTCCACAGAGCGTCGGGACCAACACGATTTTGACAGAACTGAGAGTTTTCCTGGCTCCCCCTTCCCAGGGCAGGGCTCCTGTCGCTTCCCAGAGCTTCCCCTGTTTTCCCAGAGGAGTCAACAACTCAGTCCTTCCTCCTTGGCAATTCCTGGCCATTGGGAGCTCTGTATCTTGGGAAGATTCTTCTGGAGAAGAGCCAGTCCATCTTCCTGGTGGTCTCCTTGGGAGCCCCAAAACCATCCCTGGACTGAGGAACAGGACTTCCCTTCCCAGGAAGACCCTCTTCCCTTCCCAGGAAAATCCTTTTCCCAGGAAAATCCTCTTCTTTTGCCATCAGAACCCTCCTCCCTTCCCAGGAAAACCCTTTTCCCTTCCCAGCAGAACCGGGAAAATCTATTTTCCAAGAAAATCATCTTCTCTTTCCATCAAAACCCTTCTCCCTTCCCAGGAAAACCCTCTTCCCTTCCCAGCAAAACCAGGAAAACCCTTTTTCCAGGAAAATAATCTTCTCTTTCCATCAAAACCCTCTTCCCTTCCCAGGAAAACCCTTTTTCCAGAAAACTCTCTTCCCTTTCCAGCAGAACCCTTTCCCCTTTCCCCTTTCCTTGGCCCTTGCACTGAGGATTTCCTCCCTTCAAAGCTCCCCCAAACCAGCTCCAGCAGATCCTGTGGCCACGTTCCCATGTTGGATTTGATATTTGCAGGGTGGACTCGATGCTCTCCGAGGTTTTTCCCAGCCTGGATAATCCTGGGATTCTGTGCTCCCCACACCACCAGGGAGCTGCAGATCCCTGCGGGATAAAGGACGATTCCAGCTGCTCCCAGTGGATTTTTCACGCCTTGGGGACACCTGGCTGCCATCCTCCCACCCCCAGGCTCTTTATTCCCTGCTCCATGGGCAATCCTGCTCCTTCCCTGCCCACCCTGCATTCCAGGGCTTTTCCCTGTGGCTCAGGAATGTGGGGCAGGAATGCTGAGCGCTCCAAGGAGCCGGGATGGGCACGGCTGGCACTCCCCACAATGCCAGCGTGTTTGCAGGGCCGGGAATGCTGCCCCACCTGCAGCTGGATCCCGTTCCAGCACAGCCAGGGCTGGGAGCACCCCGAAAATCAGCATCAGGCTCCTCTGGGAACGAGTCCTGCAGCTTTCCATGGGAATTCCTTCTCCTTTGGGGGTCTCTGGGTGGTGCAGAGGGGCCTGAGCAGCACCCAGGGGCTGTCGTGGTCCCTCACAGCCATCAGAGTGACACAAAAGCTGTGGCAGAGCCTTGGAGAACTCCAGGGTTGGTTTTTTTTAGGGAGATGATGTCTGACAACTCTGAAAAAGAATGAAAAAGAGAGTAAAACTTCAGAATTCAATTCCAAAAATGGAAATTTGTCTTTGGAAATCCTGGACATCCAATCCCACGGCTCTGTGAGCCCACGGGAGCCCTCTGCACACCCAGCTCAGGTGCTGCTGGATCAGTGACACTTCCCCCTGTCCCAGGTGGCTCCAAGCCTCTTCCAACCCGGCCTTGGACACTTCCAGGGATCCAGGGGCAGGATAAGCTCCACACTTGGAGCCTTTTCCCAGCTCTTTCCTCTCTGTGAGCCCCATTTCTACCTCTTGCCAAACAGGTTTGAATTTCCAGACCGCGGCTATGAAAACGCAGCTCAACCCCCTCCTGCACAGTGCTAAAATATGGCTTTTTCCCCTTTTTAATATCCCCTAAACGATGACCTTTTCCCTCCTTCAGCAGGCAGCCAACACAAGCACAACAATGTGATTTGTGCAGCGTTTCAGCTGTGGTTTCTTCAAGAAATTCATCTGCTCTCAAAGCAATTACGGGCAGGGAAGCATTTCCACTCCGGCTTCAGGCCCTGAAAAGCTGCCAGGAGGGATTTTTTTCCTTCCCCTCCTCTCTCCCTCTTGCTCCCTCAGCCCCCCTTATCCTAAAAAACTTCTGTGGTTTTGCTTCAGCAGCAATTTTGGAATGGTAAATCCCAGCCTGGTGCAGGTGGGAAGGGGCTGGATCCATCCCTGTCCCTGCTGGGGTGGGATATTTCCCACCTGGACCGGGTTTGTGCAGGATCATCCCCCCTGAGCAGCACCTTCTGCTCCCTCCTGTCTGCCACAGCTCCTGGAGGGGACACGGGCACGGTGCCACCCCCTCCTCGTGCCCGCTGTGCCCTTCCAGGACCTTCCCCACAGCACGTGGGGTTCAGAGGGCAGAGGGAACCTGCAGGACACGGCTCCATCCCGCTGGGAGACTCTGCCAGCACCCAGGGCTTGGGAGAACGGGCCTGAAATGAGCCCCGCAGTCAACAGCACGCTTAATTACTCATTCGTTCCTCGGATGGGTTAATAATTAAGTTAAATTAATAATTGGGAGAATAATTAAACAAAACAATAACCCATACCCGGCACGATTGAAGCGCTCGCGGTTCGTGCCGGGGTTTTGGGGTTACTCATTCACTTTAGGGCCGCTGTGGCGTCGCGCTGGCTGTGCCAGGGATGCGGCTCCAAGAATCCTGTGGAAAACCGGACTTTTCCAGGCAAAACCATCGGCTCTTCCCTCTCCTGGAGAGCGGCGGGGTCCCGGTTCCTCCGACCCCCGGCTCCTCCCGAACCGCCTGCACCATCCCCTCCCAGCCGACGGACGGACGGACGGACGGACGGACAGAAGGACAGGGAGGGACTGGCGGGCGGAGGGAGGCGGCTCCAGGCCGGGGGGAGGAACTACAAGTCCCGTGAAGCCGCGCCGCCCGCCCGCCGCCGCTGTGGGGTTATAAAAGCGGGAATGGCTCGGCAGCCGCACTCGGAGCATCCCTGGCTGCGGCCGCGCCGCTCCCGCTGCCCATCCCGGCGCTCCCGGGGATATTCCCGGGGATATTCCCGGTGGGAGCGGGGCGATATCCGCCCCCCGGAGGCTCTGCAGAAGGAGGATGAGGAAGATGCCGCTCGGCGCACCGGCGGAGCCGCAGCCCCGGGAGGCGCCGGGCGCTGCCGGCGGAGCTGGAGGTGGGTGCCCCGCTCGGCTCGGGGGTGCGGGGCTCAGCACGGGGCTCCTGCGCCCCGCGTTTGCTCCTGGGCACCGAGGGGACTGTGCTGGGCACTGCGGGTCCCCTCGGTGCCCGCACCCGCTGTGGCTTCTCCCCCTGTGCCATCCCCTTTGTGTCCCTTCCTCTGCCCGGGCTCGGGGCTCCGGCCCGGGATGCTCCTGGTGGAGTTTTCCCCTTCTCTCCAAGGAAAAGCGTGTGGCCGCTGTTTTCCTTCGTCTTTTGCGGTTTTTTTGGGTTTATTTTTAGGGCTTTTCCCTTCCGTGCCGTGGGAATTGGTTGCCCAAAAGGCTGGCCCCGGGGCAGGTGCTCGGGCGGGGTTTGAGCAGCGGCCGCAGCCCCTCGGAGCCCGTCCCAGCCCCGGGGCGAGCCGGCCCGCGCCTGCCGATCCGCGGCTCTGGGATGCACAAGAGCACTTTTGTGTGAATCCTGGAAAAAAAAAATATATATATGAATGACTCCCTTCTTTTGCTGGCTACAACAAAAAGACCACACCAGTCTAGACCTGCAGCCGACAGCACAGACAGAAATTAGCGCTGGCTGCTCCCGGGGACCCGGCGTGGCCAGGGGAACTCCAGCCCGGATCTGCTGCTTTTGGGGAAAGGATGTTTGAGGTTACTCTGATAGGCACCAGAGGAGGTTTTATTGCCCGGACATTGTTGGTGTTGCTCGCTGCTGGCTCGGAATTTCCTCGGAAGGCTTTGGAGGCTGCGGGAGTTGCTCAGCCCTTGCTAATTGAGCCATCTTTTTATAATCGCGGGCGCAGCCGCGGGGAGGGAAGCGGGGGCAGAGCGTTGGTGACTCAGGCCTGGGGAAGAGGCTGCGTTTGCTTTGCCCGGGGTTGTGGAGGGGAGATCCCAGCTGGGAAACCGGAGCAGGGCTCCCAAGGACAGCGGCCCTCTCTGCTGGCGGGCAGGTGATGCTTTCAGGACGTCAAAGTTCTCATTTCCCTGTGGAACTGGGGAGGAGAAATCTTCCTGGTTCGCCTCAACCCTTCAAATATGAAAGCTGAAATTTAAGGCATCACCCCCAGGTGTGGGTTCTGCCATGAGTTGGAACTCTGCTATGGAGACAATCACTTTGTGCTCTCATTTTCCAAGGCTTTGCTGGAAAACCAGCTGGATCTGCTCTATCAAGATTTGGGCTTTTTTTAAGCTTACCAGGTGCTTTCCATATTCAGGTATCCCAAATCAAAGGTTTGGGAGATATGGCATCTTTCAAACCGCATTTGATGCGGTGGTGATTGCCCTGTTTGGGAAGAAGCTCCCAGTTGAGGTGTGAAATGAACCCCAAATCCCGATTCTTGTGGGGTCAGGAGGAGACAAAATCCCCCCGTGGGCAGGAGTGGTGACACCTGTGTGGTGCTGTCTCCCAAGGCAGGAGGGATTTTGGGGAAGGCTGAGGTGTCTCCCGAGGAAAAAGGGATTTTGGGGAGGGTTGAGGTGTCTCCCGAGGAAAAAGGGATTTTGGGGAGGGTTGAGGTGTCTCCCAAGGAAAAAGGGATTTTGGGAAATGCTGACCTGGGCAGGGGGAGCAGGCTCAGGTGCTCTGCTCTGACTGGTCTCAGGAGCTGCAGGTGCTTCTCCTGCCCAAAGGATTTGGGAACAGGAGTGTCCCTGCTCAGTCTGCTGAGCCAGGAATTCAGGGCTGTGGAGTCCAGCAGGATCCTCCTGGCTGCCGAGAAAGGGAAGAGATCCCAAATGGGCTCATCCCGCTCTCTGGGGTGTTGGCAGGACCCGGTTTGGAGGTGCTGAGCGGGGGCTGTTTCCTTTGGCTGAAGGATCCATCCCCAGATCCCTCTGGAATGGCTGGGACCTGCTGGGGAAGGCGGATTCAGCCCTGAAAGGCTGGAAAATGAAATGAGGCATATCCTGGAAAATGAGGAATGTCCTGGGGAATGTGGATTCAGGCCTGAAGGGCTGGAAAATGAGGCATATCCTGGAATATGGGGAATGTCCTGGGGAAGGTGGGCTGGAAAATGAGCAGTGTCCCAGCAGCCTGGGACAGTGGGTGCCACACGAGCAGAGCAGTGTCACCTGCAGTGTTTGGGGGACAGCTCAGAGTTAAATGGGATTTTGGGGGGTTCAGGGGTCTCTAAGCTCAGGTGCCACCTCACCTGTACCTGGCTGAGCTGGGCTCAGGGTTGCAGGTGCAGAGAGGGCTTGGGGAATGTTGGGACCTGACTTTTTTTAGGATTGCTCTGCCTGTGACATCTGGAAGCTCCCAGCTCTGACCTGGCTCTTGCAAGGCTGAACTTTTTCCATTCCCCTCCTGCCTGGTTTGAAATCTATTCAATCCAGCAGCATCCCTTCTCCCTGGTGATTTTTAACAGCAGCTGGCTTTGATCTGGACAGTTTTGGACTCGAGCTCCTCCATCTGGGAATTCTCCTGGATAAGGAATGATCCTTAAATTTTCGGAGATCAAAAGATTTGGGCCACACCCGCCCCCCAGACGGCGGGGGGATCATGGCAGGAGCACAATGCAGCTTCCTGGGGGGTTTGGGGGTTGTTTGAAGTTTGAACAGAAAAGCAAAGCAACAAAAGAGAGGGCAAGGAGAGCCCAGGGCTCTGCCAGCGCCCAGAGCTGGAGCTGCCGTACAAAGCGTGGCCTTGTCCAACCGGGCTGCTTCCACCAGGAAAGATGGGTTTAAAAGTGAAATGAGGGGGCAAAAAAAGTGCCCCGTGTTGGTGTAAACACGGCGTGGAAGGGCTTTTATGAAATAATAAATAAACGCCGCTCCTTTCTGAGGGAGGCTCTCAGGCGGGATCAGGCTTGGCGGCCTCACGGCTCCCTGGGCCCTCTCTGCGCTGCTCCCGGCCGGATTTCAGCACTCCAAGGCTTCCCCTTTTCCCATTTTTTGGGGTTTTCCCTCCTCTTTGGCAGCACCGGGATTGCAGAAAGCGCTTTCCTGGGCAGGGAGGGCGGTCAGGGCTCGTTGTCACCTCGGCCCCTCCCGGGTGTGATGGGGCTGATGAGGTGCGAAGGGCTGTGCGGTGCCCTCAGAGGAGGGAACATTTTCCAATTCAATCGCCTGCTCCTCCTGCCAAGCCGCAGATGTTTTTGTTTTTTTTTTTGAGGGCTAAAACCTAAGCCTTTAAATAAATGTGTTTGATCCCTGGGTGGTTGTGCAGCTTTGCTGAGGGGAAAAAAATAAATCAATCTCGGAATGGGTTTTGTATATGGGGAGCGAACGTGGTCTGCTCGGGTTGTTCCTGATGATTCCTCCGGGGTGTTATTCCTGCTTTTTCTGCCTGGCAGGGGATCGGAGCTCTAGGAAAACCTCCCGAGGGCTCTGCTGGGTAAAGCTCAGCCTAAGGCAGCCTTGAGCTTTGCTGGGACAGGCCTGGATCAGCAGGGCCGGAGGGGTTTTGTGCCGTGCAGGAACTCTGCCCTGGGCTCCTGGATCTCTTGGATTCTCCTGGATTCTCCTGGATCTCCTGGACCTGGGCTCTTGGATCCTGCTGGGCTCCTGGATCTCCCTGGGTCCTGCCTGGGGTTGGCTGGAGAAGCTGCTCCGGTGTCACGCTGTGCCCAGTCCGGGGTGGCTGGGTGTCACTGCTGCCACTGGAGCTGCTTCAGGCCAAAGCGTGAGGGTTTTTGGAAGTTTTGCCTAAGTTTGTAAGAGAAAAGATGTTTTTGGGGTGTGGGGTCCCGCTGGCAGGCACGAGGTTAGGATATTAGGAGAAAGTTTTTCACGGAAAGAGTGATAAAGTTGTGGAATGGTCTGGGGAGGTGGTGGGGTCACCATCCCTGGGGGTGTTTAAAACAAGCCTGGATGTGGCACTGGGTGCCAGGGTTTAGTTGAGGTGTTGGGGCTTGGTTGGACTCGATGATTTTGAAGGTCTCTTCCAGCTTGGTGATTCTGTGAATTGTGGGTGCAGCCAGGGGTGCTGTGGGTGCTGTGGGGTGGCAGCTCAGGGGGTTCCTGTGACGCTGTCCCTGCCCATCCTCGTTCCCTGCAGACAAACCCAGGGTTGGCACTGCCCCAGCACCAGGCAAGGTGGAGGGACAGGAGCTGCTGCCAGCGCTGGCACCTGGGCTGCCAGTGACACCAACAGGCAGGTGCCTGTCCCTGAGGCTGGAACTGCAGGAATTCCAGCTGACAGGAGCTTCCCTGCAATTCCAGAGCCTGGAGAGCAGGTCCCTTCCCTGCTGGGGGGAGGGTGGGATGAGCTCCAGGAGGTTTCCTCACAGCCAGCTCTTCCCTGGGCTTAGCTCGGTTCTTGTTCCAGCATTTCCCGAGCACCTGGAGGGAATGAGGGATCCTCTGGGGCTCCGTTTGGGGTTCTGGGGATGCTGCACGGCAGCCCCTGGGGTGGGGTGGGGGTAGGAGGGTCCTGCTTGGCTGGGCTTGGGGGGGACCCGGCCACCAGTGGCCCTGGGAGGGAGTGGGAGCTGAATCCATCACTCTGGAGGGGGTTGGGGTCTGTGGTGGAGCCAGGCTGGAGGTGAAGCTCCCCAGCCAGAGCTGAGCTCCTCTTCCTGGGCCGTGTGAGGTGAGGGTGTGCAGAAAACTCCCCATGCGCTGGGGAGAAGGAACTGCTCACCTGGCAGGGCCCTCTCCAGCTGTTTTCCATGGAAATGCCGTCCTCTGGCTGCAGGGATCCGGGCTGTGTCCCTGGGGACAGCGGTTCCTGCAGCCCTGGCAGGATGGTGGGTGTTTCATCCCTGTTCCTGGGACAATCCCTTTTTCCTGTGGAGGCAGAAGGATCTGGAGGCAGGAAGAGGTGGCTCGTGGAGGTGGCACCTGGCTGTGGGAGGGAGGACAAGGACATCTCTGGCTGGCAGGGTCTGGGCTGTCCTCTCCATAAAGTGACCCTCGTGCCACCCCTGTGCTTGTCCCAGTGGGATCTGTGGGATGTGCCCAGCCCAGGGCTCGGAGGGGGAGGAGGGAGAAGCTTCCCAGCCCAGCGGCCTGGATGGGGAATAATGCTCCCCTTTTTATGGCTTCTTCAATTGTTCCTGAAAATCCTTTTTAAAAGGAGGAAAGTTCCTTCCTTCCTTTCAGCTCCCGGTATCTTGAAGAATTCGCTCCATTGTGAGGCCAGGACAGAGACCCTTCTATGAGGGCTCTCCTCGAGCCCCCCTCCCCGTGCCCCCTCCCACCCCATCCCAACAAGCCCCCATTCTCCTCTGAAGAGGGTCCCTCTGTCTAACGCCAAGTAACTCTTAAGGGTAGCATTTATCCCGGGGCACTCAGCTCACAAAGAGTGCTGGAGTGTCAAATAAACTCCCCGCAGCCTGCAAAGAGCAGAGGAAGAAAACACAAAACCCCCTTTCTTTCCACCCCTGCGGGGAAACAAATACGGACTTTGTGCCGGCGGCAGCGGCGCCCTAACGAGCCCGAGCGGGGCTGCTGCGAGCCCGGGTGGCCCGAGGGGCTCCGGGGGGACCTGGCACACGGCAGAGACTCCAACCCCCCCAAAATCTGCTGCCTGCCCCCGCTGCTGCCACAGGCTGCCCTGGGGAGGAGCTGCTGCTGTGCTGGGGTTGTCACCAGAGGTAAGGGACAGCCACATCCTCTGTGCCCAGAGCCTCCTCGGAGGGCTCAGCTCCTGGTCCTGATGGGAATTCAGCTTGGGAATTGTCGCCTCTGGGTGTTTGCTGTGGTTCCTGCGAGGAATCGGTCCCGGGCTCTTTTCCCTGCATGGATTCAAGTGGGAATCCATGTGCCAGGAGCCATGGGACCAGCCCTGGGTGAGGAGGTGGCCAGTGCTCCCTGGGCCGTGGCCACCAGCACATCCAGTGCCTCTGCTCAGCAGCAGCAGCAGGGAAATCCAGCTGGCTCCCGGAGTTTGGCACCATTTGGGTGCCAAATTTGGGGATATCTTGCAGCCCTGCTCTGTGGGATGTGCTCAGGTGCCCCGAGCAGAGCCAGGACTGGACACGAGGTCGTGCTGCGGTGACCGAGGCCACTCCTGTCCCTCATCCTGACCTTTGCTTCTCCACAGGGTTTGGCATTCCTGCAGGGACAGCTCCCATCGGCCCCAGGAGCTGCTGGAACCTCCTTGTGCCAGCGGTGGGGACGCCGGGACAGGAGTGGCACTTGTCCCCTGCGCCAGGGAAAGGCTCCCGAGGCAGGATTTGGCCCTGGCTGGTTCCTCTGCGCTGGGATCCCGAGCCCTGAGCCTGCCTGGGGTTTGGATGCTCCCTTCTGTCTGCAGCTGGGAATGGCACCGTGCCTCCTGCTCCTCCCAAATCCTGTGGATTTACTGCTGTTGGCACCATCCTGCTGGGACTGGCTCCAGCTTCAGCACAGGGAATCTCCCGAGGGACAGATGGGGAAAAGCAGCACTTACTACAGCCTGAGGCTACAATTCCCTCTTTTTCTGGGCTACTCCGAGCATCCTGGCTCTGCAGGAGGAAGGATTCAATGCATTCCTGGAGGACAAATCCTGTTGCTCTGACGTGAGTCAAAACCATGTATTTTTCCTTTTTTTTTTTGTTTTTAAAGCACCTTCCTGTTGGACTTCTTGGAAAATGATATTTTCCCTGTCTTGAGGAAAAAACAATGCTCAATGCAGGGAGCTGCTGTGAGGGCATGGGGGAGCAGACAGGTTTGTTCTGACAGCTGGACCGGCTGCTTTAATCAATACATGAATTTTTTCATGTCATTCCAGCTTGAAATCCCCAGTAGGAGTTTCCTTCCTGGAGTTTTATTGCTGAGTGATGGAAAAAAGGTTAAAGGCTGCAGCCTCCCAGGAGGTTTTCCTTCCTTTCCCTCAGGAGGGGACTCCTGATGGTTTTCCACTCTCTTAGGCCAGTGGTGGCTGCAGGGGGGACTCTTGTCAGGGTCACTGGGGACAAGGTGTGGCTTGTCCTGAGGGGCTCCTGGAGGCTCCAGAGGAGGAGCTGGAAGGCTCCCTTTGGAAGGGAGGCTGCTGTGAACCTCCTTGGGATGGAAAATCCATTTTCCTGCTAGAAAATGATGCCAGACTTGGGACTTTGAGGGGGCTTGTGCTGGTGTTGTCACCTGGGTGTGATGTGGGACAAGTGCCTGAGGAGCTGCTGGGGACAGCTGGGGGTGTTTGGCCTGGGGGAGGGAGGGTGGAGTGGGATTTCCTGGGTGGGGAATGAGCTGCTGCTGAGCAGAAATCCAGGAGGGTCTGGTGTTGCTCTTCCCAGAGGAGACAGATGGGAGCCTGGAGCTCTGAGTGGCTGGAGCAGCTCTTGATTTCAGTCTTCAAGCACTGCAGCATCTGTTTGAACTCAGCTGAGGCAGTTCATTCTCCTCTCAGTCACCTCCTGAGTGGTGCTGGTGCAGCTCAGACTCTCCCCAGTGCCTTGGGGTTGTGGTCTCCCCGATGATCCCGTGGGTTGGGACTTTCCCTCTCCCCCGATGATCCCATGGGTTGTGGCTTTCCCCTCTGATGATCCCGTGGGTTGTGGCTCTCCCCTGCTGATCCCATGGGTTGTGGCTTTCCCCCCTGATGATCCCATGGGGGTTGTGGCTCTCCCCTGCTGATCCCATGGGGATTGTGGCTTTCCCCTGATGATCCCATGGGGGTTGTGGCTTTCCCCCTGATGATCCCATGGGGATTGTGGTTTCCCCCCTGATGTTCCCATGGGTTGTGTCTCTCCCCTGATGATCCCATGGGGGTTGTGGTTTTCCCCCGATGATCCCACAGGTTGTGGCTTTCCCCCGATGTTCCCAGGATTGTGGTTTTCCCCCGATGATCCCATGGGGGTTGTGGCTCTCCCCTGGTGATCCCATGAACGTACCAAGCCCTTGACCTCATCCCTTTCCAGCAGGAGTCTCCCTGTGCTGTCCCTGCCTCTGGAACACAGGGAAGAGGAGGAGGAGGGATGAGATTTGTGCCGTGGTCTCGCTGTAGTTCTGCATTTTCCAGCTGAGCTCTTTGGGCTGAGTTAGGCAGAGATTTTGTTGCTGTGCTGGTGTAAAACAGCCCAGCCCTCCCTGGCTCCTCTGTGAGGTGAGGCCAGGCTGACAGTGGGGTTTGCTTTGGGTCTTTTGCATTTTCCCCTTTTTTTCTGAGGGGTATCCTGTGGTTTCTGGCCTGTGGTGCAGATGTTGCTGTTTGTAGGGGCTGAGTCCTGTCCTGGTGCTGCACCTCTTCCTGGAATGGTTTAGATTTTGGATCTTAAACTTTATCTTGTACCAAAGACACCTTCCTTAGCACAGGTTCCTGCCCAGGCTGGCCTTGCAGTCCTGCAGGAAGGATGGATCCACCTGCAGAGCCCCTCACCTGGAGCTGCAGGCCAGATCTTGATCAGGATCTTCAGCAATCCCTTTTCAAACCCTGGCTGGGAAATCTTCCTTGTCCCAGGCACTTTATCACCATCAATGACTGAGCTCAGATCGGTACCCCGGCCATCCCAGAGCAGGATCTGTCCCTGAGGGATGCTCCAGGGAAGCCCAGGGCTGCTGGGGGCAGGTGAGGTTTGGGCTCAGGGAGTCCCACCTTGTCCTGGTTTGAAAAGCAAAACCAGTGAGAGGCTCTAAGTCAGAAATACAATTTATTAGGAAAAAGGGAACAAAGAACCAAATACATACAATAGCACAAAAGAAGAACCACTGGCAGAGTCAGAGACACAACCTGACACTCGCTGGCTGGGGCGGTGGTGGCAGATGTGGCTCTGTCCAAGCCGTGCTCCTGCAGACTGATGGAGTTTCCCTCTGGAGATCCAGTGCAGAGAAGGTCTCAGGTGTTCCTCTGGAAGAGGGGATCTCCTTGCTGCCTGCACAGCCCCGCTGATATCCTTGATGGCATCGCTTGGCTCCTCCCTCTGGGCGGAACATCTCACAACAGAACGCTGTGATCTTATCCGCCATGTGGCTAAAGAACAGCTCCTCCTGGAGGGACTTATCTCTGAGTCCCGAGATAAGGGAAAAAAAGGATTGCAGCTCGAGGTGGTAATGGAATACACCACAATATCATAACCCGGGCCACACCTGCAGAAAGTTTTAGGGACTCCGGCTGGAAAAGCCATCAAAGGTCAGGGAGCCCAAGGCCACCACTGACCCATGTCCCCAGTGGCACAAATTCCCTTTGGAAGGGATTTCCCATGGATCCACCTGGGAGCACATCCCAGGCGCAGGATGCCGGGTACCGGTGGGGGGACTGGGGGCACAGCCCGGGTGGGAAAGGCGGGGTTCTGGGGGGGTTCCGGTAGGATCCCGGCGGGGTTCTGGCGGTATCCTGGTAGGATCCCGGCGGGGTTCCAGCGGGATCTCGGTGGGTGTCCCGGCAGAGTTCTAGAGGTGTCCCCGGGGGGGGATCCCGGCGGTGTCCCCGGGGGGGGTTCCCGGCGGTGTCCCCGGGGGGGGGTCCCGGCGGTGTCCCGGTAGGATCCCGGTAGGATCCCGGCGGTGTCCCGGCAGGATCCTGGAGGTGTCCCGGTAGGATCCCGGTAGGATCCCGGCGGTGTCCCGGGGGGGATCCCGGCGGTGTCCCGGGGGGGATCCCGGCGGTGTCCCGGTAGGATCCCGGTGAGGTTCCCGGCGGTGTCCCGGTAGGATCCCGGCAGGATCCCGGGGGGATCCCGGGGCGGTGTCCCGGTAGGATCCCGGTAGGATCCCGGCAGGATCCCGGCGGGATCGGGGCTCTCTCCCGGGCTCACGTCGCCCCCTGGCGGCAGCAGCGGCAGCGGCCGCAGTGCCCGGCGGGCCCCGCAGGGGGCGCGGGATTCTCTGGGATCGCAGGGAATGGAATGGGATGGGATAGGATGGGATGGGATCTTCAGTCCCATCCAGTGCCCCCCCTGCCGCGAGAGGGACACATTCCACTGTCCTATGATGCTCCAAGCCCCACCCAACCTGGCTTTGGGCACTGCCAGGGATGGGGCAGCCAAGAATTCCTTCCCTGTATCCCATCTGTCCCTGCCCTCTGGCAATGGGAAGCCACTCACTGTGTCCTGTCTGTCCAAATCCCCTCATCAGCTCCTCTGGAGCTTCTTCAGGCACGGGAAGGGGTTTTAAATTTTCTCCGGAGACTGAACATTCCCAGCTTTCCCAGCCTGTATCTGGAGCAGAGGTGCTCCAGCCCTGGAAAAAGATGTAAAAAAACTCATGGAGCGACCAATATCTTCGGGAGCAAAAGTGAAACACCGCAGGGCTGCTCCAGACGAGGCGGGATATTGGGGAAAACCCATCCAGAAGGCGCACGGGAGGTGACAGCGGCTTCCAGCGAAGGCGCGGACGCTGCTGGAGCCGCGGCCGCTGGATGGCAGCGGAGCTCCGCGGCATTCCCGAGCTGCACATTCCTGCTCCCGGGGCTGTATCCATCTCCCACATCCATCCCTGCTCCTGGCTCTGTATCCATCTCCCACATCCATCCCCTGCTCCTGGCTCTCTATCCATTCCCCCTCATCCATCCCTGCTCCTGCTCTGTTTCTATCTCCCACATCCATCCCCTGATCCTGGCTCTCTAGCCATCCCCTGCTCCCGGTTCTGTTTCCATCTCCCACATCCATCCCCTGCTCCTGGCTCTGTATCCATTCCGCGCATCCATCCTCTGCTCCCGGTTCTGTATCCATCCCCTGCTCCTGCTCTGTATCTATCCCCTGCTCCCAGCTCTGTATCCATCTCCCACATCCATCCCCCCTCATCCATCCCTGCTCCTGCTCTGTATCCATTCCCCCTCATCTATCTCCTGCTCCTGGCTCTGTATCCATCTCCCACATCCATTCCTCCTCATCCATCTCCCACATCCATTCCCCCTCATCCCTCTCCTGCTCCCGGCTCTGTATCCATCTCCCACATCCATTCCCCCTCATCCCTCTCCTGCTCCCGGTTCTGTATCCATCTCCCACATCCATTCCCCCACATCCATCCCCGCTCCTGGCTCTGTATCCATTTCCCACATCCATCCCTGCTCCTGCTCTGTATCCATCTCCCACATCCATCCCCGCTCCTGCTCCGCTGGTGGCTCCCACCCCGCGGGGGTACTGTGGGTGCTGTTTCCCAGGAAGGACAATTCCCAACCTCCCGGGATGCCCATGCAAGCACAGACCCCAAACCCAAGTAGTTATTCTCGAGTTGGATTTGCCCCTTGTGAGTTCCTTCCAGCTCTGGGTATTCCAGGATTCTGGAGAAGCCCAGTCGGGTTCTTGACTCCCCAGAGCAGAGTGCTGAGGGAATGAGGATGAGGAGGGAGCAGATCTGAGGTGATAAAGGTGACTTTTACGGATCTGCCTTTAGCCAGAAACCTGTGGCACTTGGGAAACCTTAAACTCGATCTGGAATGCTGCTGATCCATGAACGTGGGGTTTGGGGAGCGCTCACAGGGACAGGAGGACCCTGGGTGAGGTTTGCTGGGGGTGTCTCCAGCATTCCTGGAGCTCTGCTCCTCATGGGATGGCTCCTCATGGGATGGCTCAACGTGCTCCCTTCTCCCAGAGAAAAGCTTGGAAAGCTCCTGCTCTGCCTCTCCCTGTCCCTCCCTTCC